GGGGGAGTTCACGGCACGGTCGGAAAGTAGTTAGAATTCGCGTACGTCGGAGGGATGAGGGCGGCGGACTGGATGCCGGAAACACGAGCGGCAATGCGCGTCAATGTGCCGCGGGTGCAAAACGTGTCTGTTTGTCGTGGCCGAGCCAGACCGGCCAGACGACCGACCTTGGAAGCTGGTCTGCGGCCATTGGTGGGGTCGACTCGACGCGGATCGGAACTGCGCCGCGACCCAGCCGAGCGCAGCGCGGGCGTCGCTTCGGCAGCTGCCACGGTCTTCGCGTGCCGGATTGTGTCAGATGTGCTCGCACAGCCTGGCAGGCTGCTGAGACATGGTGTCTGGTGGTGCAGTAGGCCGTTGGAGTTGCGAAAAACCCAGGAGCCAGGAGACCCCTGTCTTGTAGAGTCCTTACTTAACAATAAGCCTCACTGCCGCATGTGGATTGGTGTGCTGGCGCAATGGTAGCGCGTAGTCCTCCTAAAATGGGTGCAAGACTAAGGTTCAGGGTTCGAGTCCCTGGTACATCGTGTGATGTCGCGTCGAACGCGCTGTGTCTTCAGATGACTTTTTGCCACCTTTGTTTCCTCGATTTCGCGCTGTTTTTTTTTTTCCCTCTTCTCTTTCTATGTCTGTCGAAGCGACCAGCACAGATGCACAGCCAGAACGTGCACTTTGGCAGCTCTTACGCTGCGCAATCCATCATCGGCGGGCCACAGGACTCGACTCCCACACCCACCCAGAGCCCAAGGCCAGCAGATACCTCAGGCAACGATACATTGCTATTCTTAGTCGTCCAGCCCCGCGGAGCTAGTCGCAGGCCGACAGGTGTCCCCTTACCCGATACAGCCCAGGACTCAATGCTGATTGGCGAGCCAAAGTCGACAAGGCCATTTTTCCTGGAATCGACACCAGACGACATGCATCGATGCAACATCTGCGTCTCTGGTGTACGTACGTGGCTCCTCGTCGCCTCGAATGCTGTATTCTGCTCACCCCGTCTGCAGCGTCCATTTGCCAAATGCAGTCCCGTGCACGCCAGCCCAGGCAGGCCGGAAGTTGAGGAGATTTTCCCGTGACCGGGTTGTGTGAACGCGGCTTCGGGGCAATGCCATGGGGGAAAAAAAAATATGATATAATAAAGCCAATCAAAGAAAAAAGAACTAGGCAGGGAAGAAAGACTAATCTAGACGGACAAGAGCTAATCGAAGGATACCCCTTTCCCCCTTCTCTTCCAAG